TCAGTAGTACTGCTGTTGAGAAGTCCTCCTTCAGAGCTAGAAGTCAATAGTCAAAAACCCCAGGAGTCAAGAAGCCTGGGTAACTGTAATGAGCTGGGCAACTGCGCGCAAACCATTTAACTTCTCTGGACATCTCAAAATGAGGGCGCCTGTGAGTGAAAATAGAGCACCCATTCTTGAATCTTGAACTGAGGCAACATAATTATGTTTATAAACTCGTAGAGACTGAGAAAAAATGAATGAAGCTCTTGATAAAAGCTTTTCTGTTCCTTAGTTTTCTCCCTTAATTTAATGATGATCTTGAGGGGCGAAAGTTAATAGCAGAAGGTGCCAAACTGAAATAAATATCAACATGCGAGAACTTCAGAAGTAACCTTTTGTAGCCAGTACTCATTAAGAAAAAAAAAAAATCTGTATCTAGAAAAACATCTACCTTAGGTTATGTAAAATTATGCTTGTATTGAGCAAGAAACTCCTAGCAAGAAGCTTTTGAAAATTTTGATTTGTTGGCCCTAAATGGTGCTGACAACATCTCTTTTCAGTCCAAATAAACATTTATTCCAATAAAAGGAGGCACTGTGATCTTTGCTATTTGCTATGTATTTCTGGCTGTGTAGTGCCTCTGGTTAAGGTTTTGTGTGTTTACTAATCACACGGACCTCAGGGAGGTAAAAGTTGTTTTCCAAATGCGGCTAATTTTGTATCTAACCTCTGAAAATGGCTTCTAACCAAGTAAGTCATAACAGTGGAAAGTTGAATCTGCACCTGTGTGAATAATGAGAAATAAAAAAAATATGTTTGATTCATCTCCATTTATGAAATAAATGTTTATTTTTATGAAATAATTTCATAAATGGCCGCATTAATATAAAAATATCTACAACAAGGGGTTTTAATATGCACTACCAATGTTTTTAGAAAGGGCCTCACAGAAGGGATGCATGAATCATTGGAAATTTTTGGTGTGTTCCAAGGTTAATCAGATTCTAAAAGAAGTATTTGATTCCCCAGTCTTACCATCAAAAAAAAAAAAAAAGAAAAAAGTGAAATGTACTGCTTAAAAAAAAAGAAAATTAACTCATATGGTTTAAAATATGTCACCTCATCATCCACCCCACTCTCTCCCCTGGGGAATGCAAATACTTTTACACTGATGGTCGAGTTGAGGCCCCTGGTTATTGCTGATTCTAGCATACTGATTCAAAACCTCCTACAAGAGTAATTGAGATAAGAAAACAATAATAATGAGAAAAATCTTTTCAAACTTCCCAAGGAAATCTATATATTTTGATGCACAAATTCCCTAACTTTGCAGGGTGGGCAGGAGAACAAAAGTTTGTAAACTTTCTTGACTTAGGTTAGACGTGTGTGGTGGTTACACCCAGTGTAGGGTGCAGGGTGGGGATTGAGCGCCCTCTGCTGAATGGGAGGAAATAGCACTGTCTGGGTAAAACCTGGGATATCTTTTTAGTTCTTTATTTTCCCTTATGATGGTCATCCTTGTTATTACAATTGTTCAGCCTGGGGGAAATAAAAAATAAAAAGCGCTTACAGAGTTCTGTATGTGAGAATATGTGAGCATAGTTACGTGTAAGCACATGTGTGTGCGTTTTCCATATACACACCCTCTTAATGTAGGCACTGAACAGACGTCCCTAAGGTGCATTACATTTTTTTTTCTTTTTTTTAAAAATTTTTTTAATGTTTTATTTATTTCTAGGAGACAGAGAGAGGCAGCGTGAGCAGGGGAGGGTCAGAGAGAGAGGGAGTCACAGACTGAAACAGTCTCCCGGCTCTGAGCTGGCAGTCAGCACAGAGCCCGACGCGGGGCTCGAATCCACGAACCGCGAGATCATGACCTAATCGAAAGTCGGACGCTTAACCGACTAAGCCACCCAGGCGCTCCTGCATTACATTTTTAAAATGATGTGATTTTACAAGTATTTAAGTAGCTTCTTAGAAGGATGCTTCATGAAATAGAAATGTATAATTCATGTAACAATAATATTTGATGTATGTGGCTAACAGTTTAACTGATCAATGCCCAAGAATCTTAATAAAGATTTATAGCATCTGGGATGTTTACAGTGAAGAGGGACTCATCACCAGTCATGTGAGATGCGGACTTATGGTGGGGGAGGAGAAACAGTCAGCCAGAATTTAGGAGATGATTAGATTCTTGGTCCTCATCAGCTAAGGAGACTTGTCGTCAAATGTGTCCCTTTGTTCTTGCTGTTTCTTCTACTTGAAACGAGCTGAAGCTTTCACCCTGTCCGCTCTACTGAAAGCCTGCCTTCCATGATCCCTCTCCAGCCTTAAGAATCTGTATTTTTGGGGCATCTGAGTAGCTCAGTCAGTTAAGCATCTGACTTCAGCTCAGGTCATGATCTCATGGTCCGTGAGTTCGAGCCCCACACTGGGCTCTGTGCTGACAGCTCAGAGCCTGGAGCCTGCTTCCAATTCTGTGTCTCCCTCTCTCTCTGCCCCTCCCCTGCTCGCGCTCTTTCTCTCTCTCTCCAAAACAAACATTTAAAAAAATTTTTTAAAAAGAATCTGTATTTTGAACTTAATTCATTTTAAGTAAGAGAAAATACTTTGAAGAAATCTTATTTCTATTAAATGCCGGCTTCTTTACACATATTGACTGAAAACATTTTTATAACTTGATTGAGTTACAGTTTCCAGACCATATGTTATCTCGTTGATTTTTAGTAAATTTATGGAGTTGTGTGACTGTCACCACAATCCATTTCTAGAACTTCTTTATCTCCCCTCAGATTTCCCTCCCACCGATTTGTAGTCAGTCCCCATTCCCACCCTTTCAGCCACAGGTAACCACTGCTCTGAGCTCTGTCTCCGTAAGTTTTCTCTTTCCAGGAATTTCATAAATGGGGCACACAATATGTGGTCTTTGTATCTGAATTATTTTATTTAGCATGTTTCTGATATTCATCTGTGTGGTCACATGTACCAATAGTATGATATTTTTAATTGCTGGATAGTATTTCATCATTTGAAGAGTCTATATTTTGATTATTCATTCATCAGCTAGTGAGTGTTTGGGTTGTTTCTAGTCTTTGGCTATTATAAATAATGCTACCACAGACATTTACATACAAGTCTTTGTGTGGATGTTTGTTTCATTTCTCCTCGGTAGATTTCTAAGGATGGAAATCATGAATCGTATGATAAGGTTATAGCTAACTTTATAAAAAGCTGCCATACTGCTTTCTAATGTAGCATTGTTATTTTACATCCCCACCAACTATATATGAGAGCATCCATTTCTTAAAATCCTTACCAATCCTTGGTATTTTCTGTTTATTATTATTATTACCATCTTAGGGGAGATATAATAGTATCTTATTGTGGTTTTAATTTGCATTTCCCTAATGACTAATTATATTGATCACTTTTTTATGTCTCCTTTGTATGTCTTTTGTGAAGATTTTCTATTCAATTCTTTCACGTATTTGAAATTGGGTTGTCTTATTGAATCTAGAAGTTCTATATGTATTCTGGATGAAAGTCTTTTATCTGATAGATGACTTTTTACTATTTATTCCAGTATGTGGCTTATCTTTTCATTTTCTTAGTAGTATCTTTTGAAGCACAAGTATTTTTACCTTTAATGAAGTCCATTTATTATTACTATTTTTGTAATGGCTTGTGCTTTTTTATTATATCTAAGAATTCATTATATCTAAGAATTCTTCCAAGGTCAAAAAGATTTTTTTCCTGTTTTTGTTTTCTAGAAACTTGATAATTTTAGCTCTTACATTGAAGTCCGTGACCCACTTTGAGATAATTTTTGTGTACATTTTGAGGTAAAAGCTAAACTTCAGTTTTGCCATTGCCCCAACACCATTTGTTGAAGAGTATTGTTTTCCCATTGAATTGTGTTGGCATCCTACACATATTAATTTACATTACACATGTTTAACCATATTAAGTAATTGATCTTATCCCGATTTCATAAATCAGTTCACAGACTCGTAGATTTTAACCACGCCAGTTATTCAAGTTCTCACAGCTCGTGGTAGATGGCAGAACCAGGGTGACCAAGCATCTGGTTTACCCAAGTACAAGATCTTGTACAAGGATCAAGTCCAAGTCCTTGCATGTTGCTTATTTCAACATGAAACTTTAAGCTCCCTGAGGTTACGATTCACTTCGTCTTACCTTGTCACCATAATCTAGTCCAGGACTGATTATTGGAGGGTCATGTTATGAAACACTCAGTTGATTTAAGTGATAATGTTTGTGTGAAAATAAGAACCTTATAATCTCAATAACTTTTTCTCTCCATTACGTTCATGCTTACCATTGGCAAAACTAGACTTTCATTTTATTTTGTTTTTGAAAGTTTATTTATTTTGAGAGAGAGAGTGCAAGTGGTGGTGAGGCAGAGAAAGATAAATAGAGAAAAAAAGAGAGAGAGAATTCCGAGTAGGCTCTGTGCTGTCAGCACAGATCCCGACATGGAACTTGATCCCACAAACCGTGACATCATCACCGTGAGAGCTGAAATCTAGAGTCGGACACTCAACCAACTGAGCCACCCAAGTGCCCCTAGACTTTCGTTTTAAAGGAAATATTTTAAGGAAATAATTACTCACCCTGTATTAAAAGTCATTCATTCTGTATGAACATGAATTTCATTAGGAACTTTGGTGAGTTGAGAGTGTCTGTGCTCATATGTGACTATAAAGGATGTGTCAGATAACAAAGTGGATCTCAGATAAAGACTTTCAGAAAGTGTTAGAAGCATTGGCTTGGGAGCCAGAAGGTCCTAGTTCTGGCTCTGCAGGAACTTGTTATGTGATCTTGAACAAAACCTTGGATCTCTCTGCATCACAGTCTCCTCACTGGTAAAACAGTAGATATGGACCCGGTTACCATTATGATTTCCCTCCCATGATAGGCTTTTGTTAAATGAAGTACTACTAGACCCTTCTGTTCTGCTCTGATGACACATCAGTGGCTTCTCTTATGTGCAGATTGCAGTGAGGATTTGTTTCACTGTCACACGGGAAAATGCCTTAATTATAGCCTTGTGTGTGATGGATATGATGACTGTGGGGACTTGAGTGATGAGCAGAACTGTGGTAAGTACTATTGTTTCTTTTAAATGAAGATTTTCATTTAAAATTACAGAAATGCATAATCCAGACTTCGTAGCTCCTTGTTTGTCAATGTGATTAGCAGGTTAAATTACAAAATGGTTGGTTTCTTAATTTTTAGAAAGAGGAGCTTTCTCTCAAGTATGCGTCTCAGTCATGTCTTATGTGTAAATATAATATTCCTTAAAGTCATAATAAGGAAGTGCTTTAGAAGTAGAGGGCAAGATGGGTAACGGTTGTTAATATGTTAATTTTTTCTCCTTGAAAGTGTTCTATTTCTTCTCTGGTTTAGATTTTGAACTCTTGAGCAAAACTTTGTGGACAGGTATGTTGTGTATTGGATCCCCTTACTATATGGAACCAAAGGCCCCCCTCCCCCGCTTATTCGATTGCCAAGCCTGGCAAGGACAGCCTCTGCAGTAGTGACACCTAGGGTTAGACAAGCACATTTATTTTATGCACAAAATCTGTTCTTATCTTTTTAAAAAATCAACCTACCTACTAATTACAAGTTCATACCTATAAACAAGGTCTTCCCAATCCCCCACTCCAGACCCTGGTAACCACCATTCTACCCTCTGTTTTTACAAATTCACCTTTTTTTTTTTTTAAATACTCCGTATATTAGTGCTATCGCACAGTATTTGTCTTTCTCTTTGACTTATCTCAGCATAAACACGCACAATGTTATATGTCCATTATGTCTTCATAAATGAAAGAATGAACCTACTATTTAAAGAGCTGTATTCAATTGTGAATGCCATCTCATAAGTATCTCATAAGTTGAAAGCAGCAAAAGTCCTCTTGTTTATTTACCTTTTAGAATGTTTAGGCAGTGTATTATTGAGTGACATGAGGACTTTGTCATATGAACCCAAAGGCAAGCTGTGATGAGAAAGTATCCTGGGAACATGATGTGAAAAAACATTCAGCATTAGAGAATATTGAAACAGATATTGGGGAAGGACCAGAGGAATGCCTTAGAGTGGCAAATGTCAGAAGTGGTCCCATACTGGGAAACGAGGTAGTTTCTAGAAGTAACTGTCTAGCTGCCCTAACTGTATCCATAAAAATATTGGCTATGTGTATATGCACAAATTATCCTACAAGTCACTATGTAGATATGGATTATCCTCTGGGACTGAGTAATCTTGGGGCAAAGAATGAGAAGCAATTTTAATTGTATACATCATAGAATTTATAGTCTTATAGATGATCTACTCCAAGCCCTCCTTTTACAGTGAGATAACTGGAGACAAGAGTGGGGGGGAAGGTGGGGAATGGGGCGGAGGACTTGAGTGTGGCTTGTAGTTGGACAGGTCAGTGGAGAGAACCAGGGAATATAGTGACTGTGTGAAAAAGAATGGTCTTACCTCTCAACATAATTCCTCTGAAGATAGTCGGATATTGTGAAGTTTGTGCTCTTAGGGTGACTTTGCCTCTATGTAATGGAAATAATTACAACTTTCTCTTAGATCAGTCCTTACCCCAGCTGCCCACCATTAGCAAGCTGAGCACGTGGTGGTTCTTCCAGTTTTTGCACATGCGTCCTATCTGTTGTGTCTTCCTTCTTTTCTCAGCACTTCATCTTCCATACACTGTACCATACTTTATTGCTGCAATATGACCTTTCAGATCCATGCTCGCCCCATGAGTCTGTCAATGACAGTGGTACTCTCAATGGATACTCATAACTATTCCTCATCATCGAATCTGCTATCCACAAATCCATGCACATCTTTTAAAGGGCTATTTATATTATGGTTTTTCCATGTCTTATGGTAAGGGGTCCCATAGAATCTGCTCTCTGTGAGAAGAAACTTTACTTAATTCTCTTTTTTTTCCCCAGGAATGTATAGTTTAGGGAAGAGGTTAAATCTAGGCTGAAAAGGATCATGAAAAAATATAAATATTCTGAATTTCTCACCTGGCAGTTTTTTTCCAATATGAGTTATATATTAAGATAGCTTAATAGAAAGCCTAAGCTTAGCATCAGGAAAGATGACAGGGGATATTTGCCTTCCCAATTTGTCAGACAGATGTAGGTTACAATTCTTAGAGACATGGCAGAGTTGTCACGAATACGCCAAACCAGCTATCTACATTGTGAAATCCACATCACAGTTCTGTGTATTTTAGCTAATGTGAAACTAAAATTTTTTCACAAGGAAAGAAAACAACAACTAAACAGAACAGAAAACGGGAACAACCTATGAGTCCTGAGAAAGTTGTTACTCATCTGAAAAACAAGCAGCTCTCACCCCATAGTGATGGTGGCCAGTGGGTCACATGCGTGGGTAGGAGGTAGCATTTTAATTGCTCCAGACCCACCATAAAGTATTGAAGATATTGGAACAATTGAAACAGACCCTCTTCAGATGGAATCATGAGTCATTCAGCTCTAAGTCTTTGTCATGCCGGTTCTCTACATCCCCATGGGCTTTTGTTTCCTCCAGATTGTAATCCCACAAAGGAGCATCGCTGTGGAGATGGGCGCTGCATTGCAATAGAGTGGGTGTGTGACGGTGACCATGACTGTGTGGATAAGTCTGATGAGGCCAACTGCTGTAAGTGCCCTGAAGATTTCCATTTGCTTATTTTTCCATTTCTGCCTGTTTAGACAAATAGAGTATCTGGCACGCAAAGGGAAGATCACTGTGCTTTGGTTCTAATCTATGAAGATAAGAATTGAGCGGTGTGATGACAGTAACAGTGTCATATATCTGGCTTCCACATGTCTCTCCTCCGAACTCCAAGCTTAACTTGGCTGCTCTGGTCAGGCAGGTGTCTGTTTTCTGTCTCACTGGCCATACATCTCCTTTCTGCATCTGTAACTTTGTCAAAGAGGATGTTCTTCCCAAAGATTGGGGGACTTTTTTTCTGCAAACTCTGTATAAGTAATTAAACTTCCCTGAAGGAACTTCCAGACATGTTCTCAGGCACTGTTTGTCGGAGAACATGGAGAGGACTGCCAGAGAGAAGAAAGCCTTCAGTGTTCCTAGACTTACATAGAACACACAATAATAATTATAACCTTAGGAGCTATTGTGGTGCTGGGTGAGTAGACAGTCTTGAATAGTAGAAGCAAGATGTTAAACGAGAATAGTGTTGACCTGAAGGAGTTAATACAGTGCATTTTATGCCTGTTCAAACCAATTAAAGTTTCTATTCAATCTTTTGCTGTCTAATAAAAGTAGACAAATTGATACATATGAGATTAAATATTTAAGTTGCCTATTATTTGAAGTGAAAATGGAAATATGGGTTGCATGGATTTTTATTTTGACACAAGAAAAGTCATCTAAATTAATGAACAAATGCAATGCCCAGCTTTCCCTTTCCCTGAATCGAATTGGAGCTGAGTCCTCGTTGGTGGCCACCAGTCGAACAGAGTGGATGATATCTCGATGGATCCCTGGGAAAGCAAGGACATGGTGCTCAAGTATACCAATTCTGGTGTTGAGCCTCAGTTCAAGCATCTGGAGCTTTAATATTAGACAGTAACTCCGTGAAGGCTGAAGTTACATGAATGGGTATTTGATGCTCTAAAAGACAGTAGGGATGGCATTTAGACAACCTTCGGGAACTGGAAGGTTAGCGACCACTAGACCCTAAACATCAAACATCAGGTGTCATAAGCAATTTTGAAATAAGGTGCTTATTGTGTTCAGGGTACTCTGTGAGTTCTCTCACATCTGTCATTTCATTGGCCCATTTGGTCAGGTTGGAATAAAATGAAATGTTTGGGCTTTGAGTCAGAGAAGCTTGCCCTCACATTCCAGCACCAGCTTTTAACAGCCTTGTGACTTTGAGACAGACACTGACCTCTCTAGACTTTAGTTTACTTATTCTACAAAAGGCTGATAATATCTACTTTGCAAGTCCGTTATGAGGATTTGAGATTAGCTACATAATACTGCTAGCACAGTTACTGCCATATGCTAAGCCTTTAATAAATTGTAGCTTTTATATTCGTAATAAAACTACTATCATCAACACAATTTCTCACCCTGCCCTTAATCAAGAAAACATTAGTTTTTAGTAAGCGCTATTTAAAAAGGCAAGAGAGAGCCTCCAAAGAAAACTTTCCATTCCCAAAACACTTGGAACGAAACAAATTTTTGACACATTCATTCATTTATGCGGAACAGGGCGATAGTCAGAACAGTTTATTTCTGGGTGATGCCAGAGAAGCGGGAATCCCTTCTATGATCCGCAGACAGAAGTACAAATCAGTGCAGTGACTATTCTTCTGGCCTCCGCAGCTTGTCACAGCCAGGGTCTGGTGGAGTGCAGGAATGGACAGTGTATCCCCAGCACTTTCCAGTGTGACGGAGAGGAAGACTGCAGGGACGGCTCTGACGAGGAGAACTGTGGCGAAGGTGAGTGTGGACAGCAGCCGCACGCGTTCCTTCCACAGACCTTTCCCTGGGAAGGAAGCAAAGCGTTGGGAGTCACCTAATGCTTACATAGGATTCCCACATAAACAATTCCAGACTGCCTGGCGTGGCGTGGCTCACAGCACTGGCTGGCCAGAAATCCCTTCCTTGGGGTCAATGTAATTCTCCAGCATCTTGCATGGAACAGTCATCCCTAAGGGTACACAGTGGAGGCTGAACAGTTAAACAGCATGGGGGATTCAGTGAACTGTCTAATGGGGAAAGTCAACACGATGTTCAAGGAAAGATCAACATGGTGATCAAGGAAAAGTTGAGTCCATAGTATTCTGCTAAATTACATTAGGTTCCAGTTAGGAGGAACTGGCTTCTGAAATTAAACGTGACAGCCTCCTGGGGCACCTGGGTGCTTCAGTCAGCTAAGCATCTGACTCTTAATTTTGGCTCAGATCATGATCTCACGGTTCATGGGATTGAGCCCCATGTCAGGCTCTGTGCCAACAGCTCGGAGCCTGCTTGAGACTTTTTCCTTCTCCCTCTCAAAAGTAAATAAATAAAAACGAACAAACAAAAAATGTGATAGCCGTCTAACATAACCATGTTCAGAGAAACAGTTTCTTCTTCTTCTTCTTCTTTTTTTTTTTTTGCCCTGCAGTGTCATTTTATTTTTATTTACTTTTTATTTTGAGTTTTTATTTAAATTCTAGTTAATTAACATATAGTGTAATATCGTTTTCAGGAGTAGAATTCAGTGATCAATCACAGAGAAGCAGTTTCATGCCTCACATTACCAAGTAACATACTCAACTACACTTGAAAAGGGTCGCCAATATCTTCTGTGAAACTCGTAAAAAAAAAAAAAAAAAGTAAATCAAATAAGTTGGTTTTTAAAGTGTGTCTATTTCTGTCAGAAAAGAAGAGCCCTTGACTTAAAAATCACTACTTTTGTTTGTAAGTGACCTTGCTACTCACCAGCATAGCCTCATCATTAAGAATGTGACTGCTGGATGGTCTTATTCTCAGGGTCATGAGTTCAAGCCCCGCACTGGGCTCCATTCTGGGTGTGAAGCCTACTTAAAAAAAAAAAAATGTGGCTCTAGTTGAGTTTAGGCTGATAACTGAACTCTGTCATGTCACAGGCTGTGAACCTGTAAACTCAGAGTGATACCTACCTCAGAGGGCTGGCACATTGTGAGCACTCAATAAACATGAGCTTTTATTATTACACTTCTGTTGTGTTAAAACATGTCTAGGACTGGGTATAACACAAATTGGCTAATGAGGTTTGTCACCTGTAGCTAAATTAGTTTTGTCATAATAAATATTGATCATTAGAATAGCTGTAATGGGAATGCATTCCAGACCTAAAAGGAGGTACTTTTAATCACAGATTTAGTACCTAAAAATCAGATAAGGAGTACTTTGTTTTACCAATTTTAGCATTCAGAAGCAGATTCTTTTCTAGCTATGAGTTATTATGAGCATATCAGCCAAGCACCTCCCTTTGGATCAAATTGTTCTTTCTTTCCACATAATTCATCTGTGTTTGAGACAATTTTGGATTCTTCAGGATGCAATGGCAAGATTTATAAACTATCTCCTAACATATGTGAGCTGTAAGAAAGTCATGTGATAAAATGGACCTAAAGTAAAACTGTGTCAACTTTATATTACTTGATCTAATGAACCCAACTTAATAAATGTGTATCATGGTGCTAATATGTGGCCAACCACTGGGAATCTAGTGATAGGCAAAACAGGTCATGGGACCTTGCAGGCTCCGAGGGAAGACCGGCACAATACAAATAATTGTGCAGGTCAGTGTCTACCCATGGAGTGACATCGGCCAGGAGGGAAAATTCAGGGACTTCCGTGCCGTAGATGAGATGCATGTGCTGGGACAGGGCCTCAGGGAAGTTTCCCTGAGGAAGAGACGTTGGAGCTAAGATCTGAGGAAGGAGTGGAGTCGACTTGATGAGCGCAAGTGGGAAAAAGCACTCTGGACACAAGGATCTGCTTGTCCAAAGGTCCCAGGGAGGAAAGGAGCAAGTCATATACGTAGGGAACCAGGAGAAGGCCACTCTGATTAGAGCCAGAAGTGAAGGGGAGGGTGCTACGTCAGAATACTGTCACCAGCATCACAGGCTGGCTCTGCTAGGAAGACGAGGGAGGGAGGGAAGCAGAAGCCACCCCTACTGAAGATTCAGGCCTCCACAGCCCTCCAGCTCTGCTCTTAGCCCTGCTGTCTAGTCTCTCTGAAGCTCCAGTGATACTAACCTGTGCCCCCCCACCCCGCCCCACTCCAGCATTTGTGTACTCTGCTGTCTGCTTGGGAAACCCATTCTACCTTCTTTTTTAAATTTATTTTTTTATTTTTTAATGTTTATTTTTGAGAGAGGGAAAGAGACAGAGTGCGAGTAGGGGAGAGGTGGAAAGAGAGAGGGCGACACAGAATCCAAAGCAGGCTGGAGGCTCTGAGTTGTCAGCCACAGAACCCAACGCAGGGCTTGAACTCCTGAGCTGTGAGATCATGACCTGAGCCAAAGCTGGACACTTAACCGACCAAGCAACCCAGATGCCCCAACCCATTCTACCTTCTTATGCCAACTTAACTCACCTGCCTTAAAAACCCCTTTGAGAAGCTTTCCCCTTATTGTTACTGCCTTCCACTTACCTTCAGCAGCACGGTGATCACACAGCCTTATAAGGTTCTGTTCATGGCCATAGCCCTGGTTGGAGTGCAAGCCATTTCACTTCTTTTACCTTTTAATGCCTCATGCCTCACCTGTCACATAAGCTTGTCACATAGCGGATGCTCAATACCAGCTGAAATCATGAATGCAGGTTGTCTTACTAAAATTTTTTAGAGACTGGGGCACCTAGGTGGCTCAGTCGGTTAGGCATCCAACTTCAGCTCAGGTCATGATCTCATGGTTTGTGGGTTCGAGCCCTGCGTTGGGCTCTGTGCTGACGGCTCAGAGCCTGTTTCAGATTCTGTGTCTCCCTCTGTCTCTGCCCCTCCCCACTCATTCTCTGTCTCTCAAAACTGAATAAATGCTAAAAAAAAATTTTTTTTTAATCCTTTAAGAGACAAAATGCATGGATATTCTCCTGGCTTACCTTGAAAAAAATGGTTTGCCCCTGATGATAGTAAAAAAATAAAAAAAAGAATGGCATCTCTTTTCTTCAAGGCTATGATATATACTGTTGCACATTAATGGGAAGGAAAGAGTCCAGTATAATAAACATTGTGTGAGAATTATAGATAAGAAGTATGTTATGTATACTTATACATACTGTTATTTAGACTTAAAAATGTCTTGCAAGATTTTCTAGATTCCAGAGGACATGTCTGAAAATAACTGACTATAATGAGCAAGAGCTAGAAAGAGAATGGGCAGTAATTTATTACCTTATCCACTTAACCTACAAATGACCAGGAAACCAATGGGAAAAGCAGTTTCCTTTCTACAAACCGTAAGGAAAAGCCATTAGGCTGATGTTACTGCTTTCACTCATTTGGAAACAAGAAACCCGATTCTCAGGTCATCATAGCTAGGCCAGTGATACCTTCCAAGGACAGACAGAAAATGTAGATAGCAGCTGCATATGATTTGCACCATGATAAAGTATCCTTATTGTATTGGTGTTGATGCCTTACTTATTTTTAGGGAAAGGATTTTCCTTACAGGGAAGAATAATAGAGTTGGGTGCAAATGAGTCCTTAAAATAAGATCACTTGATATTCAAAATTCCAAGATCATTATGTTGGCCTTTCTCTCCAACCACTTAAATTTTATGCTGTAATCAAGTTTATTCACCCATGTAAACATAAAACCCCCCATTAAAAGCCGCAATCACCTGTTTGGTAGGCTAGGTTGCCTCTATTTCTTCATTCCTACAGAATCCTTTTCGGAATAACGATGTTGTCTTTAGTTGCCAGGAAAATTAATCCAGAAAGTTACATATTTAACATGGGTGCAGTATTTTTGGAGAAATTGGAAGGGAAGGGAATTAAAGTTGTGTCCACTTTACTCCACCAGACATTCTTGATACCTTCGTTCCCAGTGTAAGGAATTTACAGATGATGAAAGCAAATGTGCCTTTCCCCCCACTGTAGGTCAGACTCCGTGTCAAGAAGGCGACCAAAGGTGTGTCTACAATTCCTGCCTTGATTCATGTGGCGGTAGCTCCCTTTGTGACCCGAACAACAGTCTAAATAACTGTAGTAAGTACAGCGGCTGACAAACGCAATCACCTTATCAGGATGTATATTTGGCTTTTTCCTTTTGAATTGACATTAGAATGTTGAAATCTCTGGAACCCCTCCAAATCTGTGTGTGTGTGTGTGTGTGTGTGTGTGTGTGTACATATATATGCTATTTCTTTTCTCCTTTTTTAAAGGTTGTGTGTGGTAGCAGAAAAAGAAACAAAATGGTCTCAGTTAACCGAAATCAGAAACAAATGTGTCATTGTGAACAGCCTATAAATCCACCTTGCTTAACATCATTACCATTATTTTCGATTCAACATCAGCTCCTATATGTTACTTTCTTGGCTCCATCTATGGGCAGATGCTATCTTTCTTCTGTCTGAAAGCACAGCTTCAAAAATAGAAACTTTATCCAAGAAGGGAATACGAAGGTCATCTAGACAGCCACATACAACCGTGGCAGGTCTGTTCTCCTAATAAAATGTATTCTCACCTTTCCGGGAACTTTGCTGGCCTGGGATGATCTTGAGGCTGTTATGTAAATTTGCTTTGGTGACAAATGGTGTAAACAGGTGGCTTTCTCTAAAGTAGCTCTCAGGAGAGGGAAATCCTGGGGGAGAGAGATTGGGCAGGGATCGCAGACGGCTGTATAGACTCTCGTGGGAAATGGAAAAATGAATCAAAAAACCCTGAAAGACTCTGATTTCTAGTTATGACTTCTTTTCTGTGGCTCCACTTTCCTATTTTGCTCACTTCTTTCACTTTTTATAATGAATTTGTGGCCTCAGCTTCAGCTTGGGGCTTGAGGTTTAGAAGCAGGTCTGTCAGCTTTTCGTTTGCAAGAAAGTATAAAGGTCATCTCCCAGATGAAAGGCCAAAGGGTTCAGGTTCTAGTTTTACCCAGTGACCTTTCTGCGTCACTATAGGGCTTATAGGGGCTGCTCCTGTAACCACAGGAGTGTGAGGGAGGCAGCCAGTGAAAAACCCAGACTGAGGAGTTTTTGTTTATTTTCATGAGCACTTAATAACTCTTTAGGGAAGAGGACAATCCCCAGACCTTTTCCATTTCCATATGAGAGAACAGTTGAGATAGATATAAATCTAACCATTACGACATACTGACATTTTACTCACCCTAAACTGATGTAAGTAAGTGTGTGTACATATCGCATGTATGTATCTGTATCTGTATGTTCTGGGTCCATTGTTTCACTTTGCTTTATCTCCCATTCTGCTCTGGAAGGTTTTCAGAATTATTTCTTTACTATACCTTGAACTTGGCATAAGTAATTTTAAACAGTGACAGTGTCATCTCCAGGATATGTGTTTATTATTAGTTTTGGGGGTTGTCAACATGGAATGGCACTTAGTGTTAGATTCAAAAAACGTTGAAAGGGCAGTGTTAGCCTGTGTCGAATTTGGGTGGGGAGGAATTGACCGTATATTGTCCCACTTTCTCCATTTTTGAAATATGTGAGAATATAAAACTTTAAAATGTGTTACACCTGTCAAAAAGGGAAGTGGAAAGAAGGGCACTAGAGAACTCTGGCTCATGGCCAACTGGTATTTATAGCGTGCAGACAATGTTCCAGGCTCTGGGATGGGCACCAGGCACTTTAATGGTGAAGAAGGGAGACACGATTTCTGCCTTCCTGGAGGTAACTTTTTGGTATGGGAGATCATAGTGCCATCTTTCCACTCATGTATACTATTTTAGTTTTCTCTTTATGTTCTTTTTAAAATGTTTATTTCTTTATTTTGAGTGCAGGAGAGGGGCAGAGAAAGAGGGGGGGAGAGAGAATCCCAAGCAGGCTCCATGCTGTTAGTGCAGAGCCTCATGTGGGACTTGATCCCATGAACTGTGAGATCATGACCTGAGTGAAAATCAAGAGTCAGAGGCTTAGCTCACTGATCCACCCAGGCGGCCCTCTCTTTATATTCCTTAAATACACTCAAACAATGTTCCTAGCTTTCACTGTCTCATTAGCTTCCACATTCACCACAAATGTTCTTGCCAGGTTCTTCCCATATGTATTCAGCAGACATTTGATCATCCCATCTTCTGAGTTCCGGGCTCTGGGCTAGGCATTGGTCCCTCACTCCTTCTCTGTTATTAAAAATAGTGTATATCTCTAACTTCCAGTTGTGAGTAAAGACTTTTTTCCCTCATTTTTCCAAGAGCTCCATGATGGTATGTCTATAAAGTTGGTCAAGGAGCATCTTCTCTCAGAAAACATCATGCACTTGAAAATGTGATTAATTATTTGAAGATCTTTACCGTTAGAAAGACTATCATTACCTAGATTCAGAGGCATAACTACATAGCCCTGTCTTTCTCTGGCTCCATACTAATGGAAATGTGAGTTTGAAGAATGTGGATATTCTGTCTGATGAAGTCAGCCTAGTCCCGGAGTTGCTGGGATTCTAGTTCTTGAAGACACTTGTTCTTACTATCCCATAAAATATTATATAACTTACTAATGGTCCCTGAAGACACACTAACCAGGACCCAGACATCAGTATTTCTTAAATTTCCAGGTGATTCCAGTAGACAGCCAAGGTTGAGAATGATACATTAGCAGTTTGTTCATTGCTAGGCTGCAAGGGTAGGGACATCCCTGAATTTAAAAAAATGTCTTCATAGTTTTTAAAGTTTTCAGTGAAGTCCATGGCTTATCTCAGACTCCCTGATATACCTACCTACAGTTAAAAAAAAAAAAGACTACAAACCACATCTCTGATGATATGGTTTACTGAGAAGATTGAAGTTTCACAGTATTCCCACAGCCATGTACAATCCAGAATATTTAACATATTTATGCCTTCCTGGGAGGCAAAGTACAGACACATTCTTGCCTTAGATGTTAGGAGCAGGAATGTTATTTCCCCTCATGCTGGTGTGGGGGGCTAATCCTTACTTCCACCTGGCTATATGCAATCCCAACAGCTGGGGAACCCTGTGGAAAGAGCAGCTCCTGGGCATATGTCCTCCCCCTCCTCTCTGTGTCGATGGGCGCCATAGCTGTACGAAGCCAAGTAGGACTGTCATACTCCGGGAACTCTCAAGTTCCTAGAGTGTTCCGTCAACTGTTACTGCTACATGTTGACTCATGATTTTTTTCCCTCCAATGCTGAGGAAGCAACAGACAGCTTTGTTCTTTGTCTAACTTCCAACTGACCCCCCAATTTACTGAGATCTCCTTGCAGTCTCTAGTTGGAAGGAACAGATTGTCTAGAGGTGCAGTAAGGAAGCCAGACAGTGTAATGGTTAAGGACTTCAGTCCTTGAGAACAAATCATAGATGAGAGGAATGTTCTCTTTCTAAAAGGATTCTCAGCTAATGAGTGAAAAATAAATGATTGAATTAGAATGTTACCATTTAGGTGCACTGATTGGTTACCATTTGGTAACCAGTTGTTACCGTTTGGTAACATTAATCAGTGAATTAATGGGTCAAGGCACTGAACATCTACAGCTGCTGACATCACCAAAGGAGAGAAATCGGTTATACTTCGGCTTCTGATGAAAGAACACCATAGCATCTGTAGTCTTACCTGAGGGAGGAAGCTTCATCAACCCTCTGGATTCAGCTGCCAGTGTTCGGGAAATAGGAATGACAGGGGAATATATTTACTCACCAGGAATGAGTGGTCAGCAAATTTCAAACTCTGGCACACTCTACAGTCCAAATCTCTGGGTTCCTCAGTAGTTAAACTTCAATTAATAATAAAAGGATGGGGCATCTGGGAGGCTCAATCAACTAAGCATCTGACTCTCTTTAATTTTTTTATGTTTATTTATTTATTTATTTACTGAGAGAGAGAGTATGAGCTGGGAGGAGCAGAGAGAAAGGGGGACAGAGGGTCTGAAGTGTGCTCTGTGCTGACAGCAGAGAGCGTGATGTGAGGCTCAAACTCCCGGACCACGAGATCATGACCTGAGCCAAAGTCGGTCAGTTAGCCGACTGAGCCACCCAGGTGCCCCCAAAGTGTCTGGATCTTGATTGAAGCTCAGGTCGTGATCTCAAAGTTGTGATCGCGTCCTGTGCTGAGCATGGAGCCTGCTTGAGATTCTCTCTGTCTCTCTCTATCTCTCTTTCTCTCCTTTCTCTGTGCCTCCCCTGCTCACCAGTGCATACCCTCCCTTCTCTCAAAATAAAAAATTTTTAAGAAAAATTAAGGGATGGAGGAGAAGACAAAACAAGTTTTAAAAAATGGGCAAGGCTTAACTCTAGTATTTAGGGTGCAGTGCACACTTACACACTGTAAGAAGAGTAAGGATGTGGTGACTGTGAACTCAGTAGCTACTCTGTGGAGAAAGGAGAAGGTTGATAGAAGATAGGGTATATGGAGGTCGTCTGGGATGTCTGGCAAAGTTCAATTTCTTGATCTGGGTGGTAGGTACAGGGATGTTCACCCCATAAAACTCATCAAGCTATTAAAAATATTGATAAAAAATACAGAGTTTGAGGCAAAGATGAATCTTATAATATTGTATATACCAGTGCATGTTGAAAACAACATTTTCCTTATGTAAGTGACATGATTTCCACGGGCCCCTGGGTGGCTCAGTCTGTTAATCGTCTGACTTCACTCAAGTCATGATCTTGCAGTTTGTGAGTCTGAGCCCTGCGTCAGGCCCTGTGCTGATAGCTCATAACCTGGAATCCGCTTCAGATTCTGGGTCTGCCCCTCCCATGCTCCTGCTCTGTCTCTCTCTCTCAAAAATAAACATTAAAAAAATTCATGATTTCCAGTGGCTTCAGAGTATTTCATCCCTTCAAGGACGTAACATCATTAACAATTCCATCTTTAGGTTGAATTGAACAAACCTATTTTCAGACTTTGAAAAGTGGGATATCATTAAGACTCCATTAGGATATTTATTAAATATAAATATTTATTATATTTTTTCAACAGATATTTATTAAACCTCATCTGTGTTCAGGACAATGTACTGATAAGCACGGCATCAAACTTGGATTAAAAACAGTTCTGCAGGATTTAAACATCCTCATGTTTGTAACACGACTGCCCTCTAGTGGCTGTCATAAATCAAGCTAGTGAGTGAGTCATTGTTTTAAGATAAAAAAGCTTATTGATACTGTAAATCATAGAACTTGAGAGTTTATATTGCTTAGCACTCTATGAAGAATTCCTTAACAAGATTCAGTCGCCCTTACCACATTCAGTAGAGATCTCCAGAATAATATATGATTACAACTCCATCCTTTTATCTTTCTTGGCTCTGAAACGCTGAAAGCTTATATCTCATCTCAAATCATTAATGTGGTAGTTTCCACATATTAAAGAGAAAAAACTATCCATGTGATAGGTCTACTAATCATCTAAATAAAGCATGCCAATAAAACGTTAAAACTTGATAGGGTGGAGAGGAAGAGATAGAAAGGAAAGGCATATACAAGAAGGGAAAGGACTGCATCAAAAATCTGTGTACGTCATCCCATTTTTGTAAAAAATATATTAAAGAAATTAGGGAAAAATTTGGTTAGAGCTGTATCTACTGACTTATAAGACAGTCATGATGAATAATTAAGAACAAAAGCAAATTGAGGAATCGTAGGAATGGTGGGTTCTACTCTGGCAGAAGCAAGCAAGCAACCTCTTTCTATGTGTGTAAACGCTTCTATGTAAATGCGTGTATGTAAATGCCTGTATGCAAATGCTTGTATGTAAATACATGTATGCAAATACTTGTATGTAAATGCATGTATGCAAATGCTTGTATGTAAATGCCTGTCTGAGCCAGTGAAAGGCATGGAAGGATTCAGACTCAGTCTGTTGTCTGTGAGGGTCAGTGAGAAAGGAGGGCAGGGAGTCCATGAACTTTTTTTACACATCTTGCATTGTTTTTATTGTTATGAAGAACATGCATTTTTTGTAATATGAAATCCAAATATTTAAATGTTATTCTTCTTTCACAAATCAATGGACATGATACACTGAGCCAGCCCCACACTCCTGTGCGTCTTTTCTCTCCACCCTGTATTCATCCTCAAGATTATGTTGGGACACCTGGGTGGCTCAGTCGGTTAAGCGTCCGACCTCAGCTCAGGTCATGATCTCACGGTTTGTGTGTTCGAGCCCCGCATCAGGCTCTGTGCTGACAGCTAGCTCAGCGCCTGGAGCCTGTTTCGGGTTCTGTGTCTCCCTCTCTCTCTGACCCTCCCCTGTTCACACTGTCTCTATTTCTCTCTCAAAAATAAATAAGACATTAAAAAAAAAGGTTATGTCAACTTTGCAATGTTACTTTTTTTTCCAGTAAACAGAGCCTAATTACACTTTGTCCAGAAGGCTTTTTTTTAAGTTTATGTATTTTGCAAGAGAAATTGAGAGAGAGAGAGAGAGTGCACGTGTACGAGCGGGAGAGGGCCAGAGAGAGAGAGGGAGAAACCCAAACTGGTGCAGCGCCCGATGTGGGGCTTGATCATGACTTGACCCAAAATCAAGAGTGAGAGGCTCAACCGACCGAGCCACCCAGGCGCCCCTGTCAGGAAGGCTTTTCATCAGACACCTTATCAATGTAATTTCCTCGAAGCCCTCAGATGCTTTAAAATGAGAAGTGGTCCCAGAGTGATGTTAATATTTCACCCCAGTCTTCATTACCAATCTATCTGCATGCATGCCACCTCTTGGTCAAATAATTAACTTAATTGAATAATGACTCTTGATAAGGCCCAGAGTCTTTGGTGGGCCTGGGCTGATTCACCAACACACTTGCTTGGTTGCCTCCCACCTCCCGGGAGTGTGACACGACTCCTGCAAACAGAGAGAGGAAACAGGGAGACTTCCTACCGCAGTTCCCTAAGTTCCATTGTCCTGGAAAGGTTTCCTGTGCTGTTATCGTCTGCCTGGTCCCTCTGGCCTCTTAGTATTTTTTAACACTGCTGTCCTATCCTCATGTTATACAACAGCTACCAGAAAATGTGTCTTTCTTCCTATAAAAATTGCAGAGTGCTTTAATGGCAGGGACTGTCTTTTTTGTGATTTTTGCATTTTAAGTGCCCAGGAGGGTTCCCAACACTGTCCTTGCCCCCCAATTTTTTCCTTCCTCCATTCTGGCGCTGTGCTAGGTACAGACTTTGAGATCAAGAAATAAAGTCTCATTTCTCAAAAATCTCTAACTTACGTGGGGGACACAAGTAAGTAAAGAATCCAGTAGAGGACAATGAGTGTGTGGTAGGAACATGCCTAAGGTGATGTGGTGCTCAGCACCTACTGGGAGTGGGAGGGGGAGAGTGGTTGGCTGGGAAGGCTACCCAGAAGAGGTGAGCATGGTGAGGCCTTCAGGCCAAGGAGGAGCTCGCCTGGTGGAGAAGATGGGAAAGGATCATTCCAGGCAGCAGGTGTTGTATACACCTGGCAGCTAGAACCGTGACTGCATTTAAGGGGTGATTACAAGTATGTCAGGGAAAGATGAGAGAAGAGCTAACCGGGCCCACAGACGCATGTAATTCTTAACATATTTGTTGTCACTGAAGAAATTCCGCTGACGAAACAGTCTTTGGTGGTGAGTCTGGAAAGTTAGGCTGTGGTTGGAGTCTGAGACAGTCTTGGATGCCAAGCTGAAGGGTTAGTATTTTGTCTCCTACCCATGGGTAGCTAATGAGAGCTCAGCCCTCTCTTGTCTTGAAATATTGTAGCCTTATGTTTAAATCGACTGATCAACAATCAAAATGTATAGAAAGAAATAACCGAACTTTATTTAACCAAATTCATTGATTTTTTTAAATGGCTGTGAAAATGAGGGGATATATTCATTAAGAACTAATAAATGATTGGGGTGCTGGGTGGTTCAGTTGGTTAAGCATCCAGCTCTTGACCTCAGCTCAGGTCTTGATCTCACAGATCTCAGCTCAGGTTTTGAATCTCAGGGTCATAAGTTCAAGCCCCACATCGGGCTCTGCACTGGTCATGAAGTCTACTTAAAAACAAAATAAAAAAAAAAGAAGTAATAAATAAATCAGAAGACAAAATGGGTAAAAGGAAATACAAAGGAGAGTCACCTTCAGATAGATTGAGCCAAGGGAAAAATGAAAAAAGACTTTCTATAACATAAAAAATGATTCTTGGTTTGGTAGTTCTTTAACCAAATTATTTACCTTTTGATGGAAGTTATATACTGCTTGCATTCCAGTCTTTGTTTTTTTTTAAAGAAGATAAGATAGATTTCAATTTTGTAAGAAATTGTTTTGCATATGAAATTTACTATAGATAGATAGATGATAGATAGATAGATAGATAGATAGATAGACAGATAGATAGATAGAGATAGAGATTTAGATGTAGACATAGATATATACCTGTATGTGTGTTTTGTTTTCTTGTTAGGTCAATGTGAACCAATCACGTTGGAACTCTGCATGAATTTACCCTACAACCATACAAATTATCCAAATTACCTTGGCCACAGGACTCAAAAGGAAGCATCCATCAGTTGGGAGTCCTCTCTTTTCCCTGCACTGGTTCAAACCAACTGTTACAAATACCTCATGTTCTTTGCTTGCACCATTTTGGTACCAAAGTGTGACGTGAACACAAGCCAGCGTATCCCACCTTGCAGGTAACCCAAGGGGTCTCCCCCAAGCACCCTCACTTCCCCTCAGGGAGAACCAAGTGGGCAGAGACTGAGTCTGAATTTAGACAAAGTCCATATGGCTAAGGAGCTCCATATTTAACAAATTATGTATTTAAATGGTAAAGAAATAAGAATTCGAAAATTAATATTTGAATTAATTACTGAAGTACCACATGAGGGAGGCATGAACTACCTTTGATAATAGTTCACATACATTAATCCAATAAAATCATCCACATTTCATTTTGGTGGGTCAAGAAGTGTTCTGCAATGTGAGTTAACAGAAGATGGAGTGTATCTGCCTTTTTCTCTGGCAACATGGATGTGTTTAAAATGCTGCCTCCTCACGTGCACCCCAATGTTCACAGCAGCGCTTTCACCAATAGCCAAATCATGGAAAGCGCCCAAATGTCCATCAACTGATGAATGGATAAAGAAGATGTGGTTTATCTATACAATGGAATACTACTTGGCAATGAGAAGGAATGAAATCTTGCCATTTGCAACAAAGTGGATGGAACTCGAGGGTATTATGCTGAGTGAAATAAGTCAGTCAGAGAAAGACAGATAATCATGTTTTCACTCATATGTGGAACTTGAGAACTTAACAGAAGACCATGCAGAAAGGGAAGGGGAAAAAATAGTTTCAAACAGAGAAGGAGGCAAACCCATAAGAGACTCTTAAATACAGGGAACAAACTGAGGGTTGGTGGAGGGAGAGGGGGCAGGGGAGAGGGGAAACTGGGGTGATGGGCATGGAGGAGGGCACTTGTTGGGATGAGCACTGGGTGCTGTATGTAAGCAATGAATCAAGGGAATTTAACCCTGAAACCAAGAGCACAGTATATATACTGTATGTTAGCCAACTTGACAATAAATTATATTAAAATTTAAATAAAATGCTGCCTCCAGATAGCACTCAAAAGTTAGAGACAAAGGGGCACCTGAGTGGCACAGTCGGTTGAATGTGAGACTTTGACTCAACGATTCGTGAGTTCAAGCCCCACATCAGGCTCACTGCTGTCAGCGCAGAGCCTGCTTCGGATCCTCTGTTCTTCTCTCTCTGTTCTTCCCCTGCTTGCGCTCTCTCAAAAATAACTAAACGTTTAAAAAAAAAAGTTAGGGACATTACATAAGGTATGGCCTGATGGTTGGCCAGGCTACCTGTTTGGATGAAGTAAGGGGCAGAATTTCAAGCCTGCAGTTTAGATTTAGAATGAGCGATGTCCTACTTCAGGGTAAGAGCACTACTCCTGAGTCCACTGTCTGGTCCACGTGCTGGTGATCCCTCCCTGCCTAATGGCCTGGGACAGATTCTTCTGTCTCCCCCAGTGCCGGGTCTTCTACTTCTGTCTGTGAAATCAAGAGAGTAAGGGTTGTTGGGAGAGTAAGTGAATGTGCATAAACGTGAAGCCTTCTGACTGGTGGCTGGGAGTGAACATCAGCTCTGATGGTGGGAGAGGAACACTACTGTCTAGTGGCAGTTGGTGTCTGTCCTGTGCCGTGTGTTGCGGTGTAGTCATAGACGGTGCCGTTAACAAGAGGTGGTCACGGAGGTGGGCTGCTGCATTCTCCACCCTGTTTTCCATCAAGGGGTGAATATATAGACATGCTTGTCCGAATGTGAGCACTAACTATGGACACCCTATGTTGGGATCAGAAGTCACTTAGAGCTTTAAGAAAAAGCAGTAATATCAATACAGTGGACAGATGGGAAAAACAATAAATTAAATACCCAATATCTAATGGATGACAAGGAGGAGGCATTTATAGAGGACAGGAAACAATAAAATTTCAAAATGAGTTGGGGAACTAATAAATTAACTGAACAGAGTCAAAGTTAATGTTGCCTTGTGCATACATATTTCTGAAAACTTCTGGAAAATGCTTTTTAAAGTATCCCTAATAAAACATCTACCCATTTTATGTGAAAAACTTACTTCTCAATTTTATTCGACTTTTGCTAAGCAAGGTCAAGGATAGTGCATAATCACTTCTGATAATACTTAAAAAATGCTTGGCTTGATTTTCTTTTCATATGTATAAAAAATTTCCCTAATGCAGTATTCTCTGGAACAAATTTACATCCACACATGATTTATAATTTCAGGGCTTATGTTTCATATGAAAATGCCCAAGATGAGCCTGAAATGTTATCCAATCAATATTTTAGTGAACTTCCTTTAGATACTTTAGTTCTGTTTCTCAGATCTACAAGTACATCTGTCATTTTCAGTGGCTTTCAAAATGAATTTTACAGTTTGATTTTGTTTATTAGGGTTTTTTTTATGTTCTGTTAAGAATAATATACTGATATGTTCATGAAGCAATGTTGCTTTTGCCAAGCTTGCTTATTGATTTTTAAATTTCATTTAAAAATTCTTTTAACATTTATTTATTTATTTATTTTTAATGTTTTATTTATTTCTGAGAGAGACAGAGAGACAGCATGAGCAGGGCAGGATCAGAGAGAGAGGGAGATACAGAATCTGACACAGGCTCCAGGCTCTGAGCTAGCTGTCAGCACAGAGCCCAACATGGGGCTTGAACCCACGAACCATGAGATCATGACCTGAGCCGAAATCGGATGCTTAACCGACTGAGCCACCCAGGCGCCCCTTAACATTTATTTTGGAGAGGGAGAGAGACAGAGACAGAGACAGTGTGAGCAGGGGAGGGACAGAAAGAGGGAGAGAGGCAGAGAGAGGGGGAGACACAGAGTCTGAAGCAAGCTCCAGGCTCTGCGCTGACTGGCCGACAGCATTGAGGCTGATGTGGGGCTGGAACCCACATACCGTGAGATCATGACCTGAGCCAAGGTTGGACATTTAACCGACTGAGCCACCCAGGCTCCCCTAAAAATTTTATGAGTCAGAAGACTCCTGGGTGGCTCAGGCTAAGTGCCTGACTTTGGCTCAGGTCATGATCTCACAGTTTGTGAGTTCGAGCCCTGCATCAGGCTCTGTGCTATCAGTGCGGAGCCTGCTTGGGATCCTCTGCCCCCTCTCTCTCTGCCCTTCCCCCTCCATGCATGCATGTGCTCTTTCTCTCTCTCTCCAAAGTAAATATTTAAAAAATTCTTCAAGGGGCACTTGGGTGGCTCATCGGTTAAGTGTCCGACTTTAGCTCAGGTCATGATCTCATGGCTCTGTGCTGACAGCTCTGTGCTGACAGCTCAGAGCCTGGAGCCTGCTTCAGATTCTGTTGTCTCCCTCTCTCTCTGCCCCTTCCCCATTCAACCTCTCTCTTTCTCTCCCTGTGCTCCTCCCCCACTGGTTCTTTCTCTCTCTACCCCTCAAGAAAAAATATATACATGCTTTGTACAAATGTGATAACACACATGAAAGCACCTAGCACAATGCTTAGTGTGTATTTTCTTTACAAAGCAAAAGAAACAAACACAGTTTATTTTAGCTGACTTGGGCTCAGTATAGATGGGTTTGGGGAGGTACCAAGCTTTTCAACACTAGTGGTCCAAGTTTAAGTGATGCTAGCAGTGCCTTAGGTAAGCCAAGTTGGCACATGGAATGGCTCACATGGCTGTTCCCCAGAGGGAGAGACCTCTGAGGTTGAGCGTATGGTATAGACTCCATGACCCTTGGTGGGAGACTCTCCAAACTGATATCGGGAACTTCCTGACTTGCCATAAAAGCATCGGAGAATGTGTCTGCCTGAAAGACAGAAGAGAGAATGCAAAAAGCAAACTACAGAAGAGAATCTGTTCAAGGGCATAAACTTGCAACTAATTGATATATAGGTCCTGGAGATCTTACACAAAATATAGTGAATATAGGCAACAATATTGTATTATAATCATCAAACTTCCTAAGAATCTGGATCTTAACTTTTCCAACCACAAAAGAGAAATGATAATTATGTGATGTGATAGAGGTTCTATCATCACATTATAATAAATAAATGTTATCAAATCAACATGTTTTACACCTTAAATATACATCATGTTATAGGTGAAATATATTTCAATAAAAATACACACAGCAAAGTTTTATTTCTGTTTCTTCAGTGAAGTTTCTTTTGGTGAAATTATGTTGCTGGCATGAATTTCCTTTGTGGAAGTATTATTCTTTTTGTTTTCTGAATATCTGTTATGTATCTGTGCATCTATATATATTGGTATATACACTCACCTGATATACACATAGACCCATATGCATGCAGAATTAGAACCCTACGGTATGCCTAACATACCATTTCAGATGTAGCTATTTCTGTTTCTTGTGTTTAATCTTTCTTACTCTTTCAGAGCACTGTGTGAGCACTCCAAAGAACACTGTGAGTCTGTTCTTGGGATCGTGGGCCTTCAGTGGCCGGAAGATACAGATTGCAGTCAATTTCCAGAGGAACATTCAGACAACCAAACTTGCCTAATGCCTGATGAAGATGTGGAAGGTTAATGTTTAAATTAATTACCGTGAGTTATCTAACATGGACAAATAGATCAGCTACCTTCTCACATTTCTCTGTTGTTATTATTCTTGTTGCATTCTATTTAGTTGTCAATCAGGTGGTGGCATGGGTGAGTGAGTCTATGCACTTGATTACACTGAAGAATTTGGTGCTGATCTGTTAAACATTGTCTTCACTTTAAAAATAAATTGCAGAGATGTATGTAATTTTCCAGGTACTTATCTTAACCATACTCAACTCACAGAGCCCATTATACTAGGGGTCCTGAAGGTAATGGTGAACATCAGGCCTTGGTTACTTCAAGTTTAAAGTTTTTAGAGACTTTGACAACATAGGATCATCAAGTAGTGAAATGGGATCAGGGACCTGCCCACCTGGTAGAAGGATTAGAACTGCAAACAATTTGAACACATCAAGAGCAGCTAGGTAGTTAGAAGCATTGTCCCCATGGGTTATTTCAGACCCTGGCAATCCATCGAATGGACATGGTTGTCCATTCGGGAAGGTGGTTAATTGCTGGAAAGCAAAAAGATACTCAACAACCGACAGGAGAGACGATGCCAAGGGTGAAGGAGAAAGATCCCGATCAGCAAGCAGAGAGAGCCAAGCTAACTTTGGTTGGCTCAGCTTTGTAGAAGACTATCTTCTCTTCAGGACTAGCTCCTTGGCAATAGCCCACCCATAAATAGATAAATCGGTTGATGGTCCCAGGTTTTCTGTGTATCGAATATAAAACGGCTCGTTTTTTTTTTTTTTTTTTTTTAACAGAATGCTCACCTAGTCACTTCAAGTGTGGCTCTGGACGGTGCGTTCTGGCTTCCAGAAGGTGTGATGGCCAGGCTGACTGTGACGATGACAGTGATGAAGAAAACTGTGGTATGTGTGTGAGATGACACTTTTCTGGAATATATGGTAATGCCTGCTTAAGATAAAAGACTGTATTTAAAAATGTCAGCCGTTCTGATAGTCATGAACATGAGGAATATTGAATGTTAACGCATTTACTTTTAATATTACCAAATGGCAAGGTATGACTTAATAGGTATTTTTTCTGCTAACTCTATTGACTTTCCCTAAATTATACTTCTGTTTATGACCTTGATGATATATGTGCAAAATCCTCAGTAAAAGGAGAAGCACTTCACAATGTAAGGGATTATTTTTATTATTAGAGATGTTAAAGCAGTTGTCACCTGTTTAAAAGTCAGAATAATAGCGTCTTTGCATATGATTTCCATGTTGTTAAATAGGCATCTAGATACACAGGCAGAGTTCAGGCTCCGACATTCCAATTTAATTGGAATTCATTTTCATGCCCTCTCTGATTTTGTCTCTGTCGGCAAAGGATAAAACTCTTTCTGACATTTCTGCATGGAGTTCCAAAATCACCAATGGAAAGGCCCGAAATGCCAATGGTAATTTGAGTGGAGTGAATTCCCGTTTTGTGTCCCTGCAAACCTCTGTACTTGTAACCTCAAAATGTGTCAGGAAATAGAAAGCGGGCAATGCTCTTTACTAAGCAATATTGTAGAATAAAGCAAAAACGATTCAAAGGCTCTCCAAAGAATAGTTTGATTATGATTACTTACCATGTTCTGCTTAAAAATGAATTGACGCTTTCGTTGAAAGCACACAAGGCAGTACATCTTTTGAAATCATTTTATTCTTTTGGCCTTTGAAATATGAAATACTGCCTGGTTTCCCAAGATGAATTTTCTGTAGTATACACTGTCCTTCTGGTCTAAACAACACGTCACAAGCAATACACGGAAACCCCATCAGTTGCTATAAATATGGACAAGTGCATCTTCTAGAAAATCAGAGCTGTCAGGATGATGGTCCAATGACCAGGGGTATTTCTGTTAGAGAAGAACATCCAGTGTTTTGAGAAGCTACTGTTGTTTGTTTGTTTGTGGTCTTTATGTGGAGAAATAAATCCGAACTGGTTGAATATCCCTTACGTAAGTGATTCGTTGAGAATCTATTGGCTTTGTTTGCTAAACTATGACTTCAATGGGTTATGGTATTCCGAGATGCAGTTTTAAATGAATTAGCTTCGGGGCGCCTTGGTGGCTCCGTCGGTTAAGCGTCTGACTTCAGCTCAGGTCACCATCTCATGGTTTGTGGGTTCGGGCCCCACATTGGGCTCTGTCTTGAGAGCTCAGATCCTGGAACCTGCTTTGGATTCTGTGACTCCTTCTCTCTCTGCTTCTCCCCTACTTGTGCTCTGTCTCTCAAAAATAGATAAATGTAAAAAAAAATTAAAAATAAAATAAAATGGATTAGCTTTGATGACGTAAACAGATTACACAGCACTCCACTGGGCTGGCTGGACCTATATCTGAGCAGGGGATTAAGTCTATCAGTAGGGGGCTAAGTATTTGAGAAATGTAAAAACTTAGTTTTAAATGGTCGGAGTCCTAGAATATATTCTGCAAAAAGAAATTCAAAGCACTGTTGGGTTTAAATGACCCTAAAGTATCAGATTTCTAGTTAGGTAAGGAGGTTTTTTGTTTTTGTTTTTGTTTTTTTAATCAATACTTTGTTCGCACAATTAAAGGCAATCAGTTCACACCAGAAGGATAGAATCTGTTGTCGTATCCCTATCAATACTCAATATATTGATGGCACTACTGACAGCTCTAGGTAAGGAAAGTTAAAAATGGGAGAGAAGTGAATACATTCAGACTTACATTAATTGCTCCGACAGTATCTAGTTATGAGAAAACTCTTATTAAGTTTTTCAAAGTGACCGATGATGGAAATGTTCCATACATTTCCCTTTGGGATGTATGTACACATTTGAATGGGCATGTCTGATACTCTGGGAGAATAAGACACTTACAATGAAATAAAGAAGTCCTGTTGAGGAGGGCCCAATGAAGGACTCTGGGGAAATCTTTCAGCTCCCATTTCTCATTTTTTCAGTCTGTCCCTCCATTTTTGTGGGTAGGCATGGTACCATCCAGCAATGCAAACACCAGCGCTAGTGAAGCTGGCTTTCATCTCGAGCTTCATATAGTTTGATTTATTCTGTCCATTGTGAAACTTAACGCGCCTAATGGCTTGGGCTTTCTTGAACAATGTGACAATTAACTATGCACTGTCACACACTGCAGATGCTCCAGAACTTCTAAAACCATTATAGGGTTTCCTCTCAAAACAAGACTTATTTATTTACAAAACAATTGATGTGTTGGAAATTTATTTTGTGTTTCTTTGGCAAATCTGCAGGAGGAAAATGTGGTAGCTTTATAAATATGCTTTTAAAAAGCACCCCGTTTATAAATATGCTTTTAAAATACAGACTTCTCCTGCCATCCAGAAGTAGAGCATTCGTGTAAAAACTTTCATAAGCCAAAATTGTGTGAAATGAAGAAGCAACTACCATTGATTTAGGCAGAAAACATTTTGAGTGTACCCAGACCCTAAAAATATCCTCCTTTAGGCTTTCTGATACCTACCACACATCTTGTTAGTGGATGTACAAAATAAATCAAGACAGAGCAAAGATGCTCACAAAGGTCAGAGCTCTGGTGGCTTGAAGCTGAGTGTAGTTCCCAGGGAAGGGGCGTGGGGGCGCTACCCGCTGCTCGGGGTGTACGGTGCCTGCGTAAAGCCCCGCTGCAAAACAAATGCTGAAGCTGTTATTCTTTTTAACTCGCTGAAGCTATTTTCCTTTTTTCCCTTTTCGCTGTTTTTCATGAGAGCGACAATCCTCTTCCCATTTCGTTTGGTCACTGAAAACAGTTGCTAGTAGGACTTTCCTAAAAGCCAAGTGGCGTGTTGCGAACTTTCGAGAAGAGAGGGATACCTGTCCATGCGTTAGGCTTTAGCAAATGACCAATGCTGCTCTGAAGCGTCATCTGCTCGTGTGGCAAATTTTTGTTAAAGTTGTTTGGACTGTGTAATTGCTAACGTAAACTGCCGTTGAAGACACTGTCAGTATTAGAGATGTTTTCAGCAACTGTTTGGAAGAATTGGGCAAATCTGAACACAGCATGCCAGAATGGCTCCACGGGAGGGAAGCCTGGAAAGTGGGAGCCATTTATAGAGCCACTGCTGTGTCAGTACAGAAGTACGTCGTTGTCTTAAAAGCTGATGCTTTGCCATTAATCGAACATAAATTATATGGACAGAACTGTCAAAGTAGCAACTGGATGAAATAAGTTGATTTTCAATATACTCTTTTCCAAGCACTGATAGTAAACAGTGAAGGAAAAGGTGAAGATCTGGGCCAAGAATTGAACAGGAATGGCATAAAAGAAAGGCGAGCTGAGGGAAATAACAATGGATTACATTTCTGGACTTTGCCTTCATGCATAGATTTGAGTTTGTGAGACTTGAGATTAGATTTTGCTAACTCTATGTCCACAGTGTGAGTGGGCTACCACAGGAGCCAGGTGATAGGAGCAGCACTGTGTTTTCAATGGGACAGTTATATGGGAAGAGGGCTAAGACAGCTTCATTATATATACTGTCCAAATAAAACCCTTTGTTACATAAATGCAGCATTACAATGACTAACTGATCTCTATTCTATACAAAAGAATATACACCATATGGAGAAAGACTGACAACAATACAAATACTCAAGTGTCATTAAGTGCCTTTCTGTTTATCCTCAAATGATTAAAACTCACTGGGCTCAGTGGGGCACCTGAGTGGCTCAGTTGGTTAGGTGTCGGACTTCAGATCATCATCTCACGGTCTTTGGGTTCAAGCCCCACATTGGACTCTGTGTTGACAGCTCAGAGCCTGGAGCCTTCTTCAGATTCTGTGTCTCCCTCTCTCTCTGCCCCTCCCTGCCTCATGCTCTGTCTCTCTCTGTCTCTGAAAAATGAATACACCTTGAAAAATTTTTTTAAATTATTGGGCTCAATAAAATAAAATTTTCAACTATAATCTTTTCTCGGGATCAAAACCCCTTTGGGCTGCGTTCAAAGCCTCTGACCCTGATATTTGTGGGGTGACGGGCTGATTTTTAAAGTTTTCCAAAAGGCCTTTTTTTCCTAGCCCTTTGGACTCTTTACTAGTATTTCTATGACTTCTCACAGAGAATGGCAGACCTGGCATTTTTAGCAAATAGGAGTCTCCATGACTCTCTTTCTCTTTGCTCCTGGAAGACCCCGACTCTGCTCTGTAACTAGCATAACCCAAGTTTCACATCGGATACCCACAAATGGGCTTTCTCTTTAGCTGTTTTGCTACTTGGTTCCCTGCTTTGCTGTTTTATTTGGCATGTTGGGCAGGCAGCTTGAAATGTCAGGGGGTGCTCTGTGTAGACCGAGACTTGGATTTAAATCCCAACTCAGCACCTAGAGGCTGTGTGAGTTTTGGCCAGTCACTAATTTCTCCGGGCCTCCGTTTCCTCGCCTACGAAGGGTAGAGAACACCCACTTTGTCCTCCGGAGCTTGGAATGCTTACTCCGTGCCTTTACTCATTCCTCAGAAGGCAGTAACCAAGCACCCATCTGCCACGGGGCTAGCACATTTGGGGGGCAACTCCCCTCAAAGGTCACCCCAGGGATCTCCCTTGAGGGAAAGAGTCCTGTCTTTGGTCTTGTCGCTGACAGACCAAGGTCTTGTTTACGGCAGAGGAGATGAGGCTGGTGTGTCTTGTCCAAAGCACGAGCTGGGGAAAGCCCCTGGCCACACAGTAGACACGAGCAGCAGGGTGCTGTCTCATCCTGGAGGCTGAGCTTCTCTGGAGGCAGATGCCCCCCTCTCCGGGATGAGTCATGGAAGGCAGCCCCCAGCCTGCAGTTTAAAGCCCTTCCTATTTCCCCATCCTGCCTCCACGGAGCGTGCTAAGCCAGCACATGTTGAAGAGGATGACATGGGGATGTCACCCCTAAACAGGGGAGGAGTTGGGA